CGTTACTTAACATCGCACATCCTGCGATGTGACTATTGCACGTGCGTACATCGCAATGACGATGCTGAAACGATATACTGTATCGTGCAGCCCTAATATGCGCACATTCTGAAGTCAAGTTTGTTTCTATAGATCGCAACGTTTGCACAGAAAGAGGCGTACGCATCTTTTAGGTCCCGTTTTGTGTGTACACAACGGTTATAAATGAGACCCCAGGTAAGCAGATGATCATTATAACAGTTTTTTTTTTTCCTTTACGTCTCAGGCAGATTACCATCTAATTGCCATTTGTATATATTTATTACACAAATATAAGGTGATAAAACAGACAGTATTGCTATTTAGTGAATTGACTCAAAATACAGTACAGCTGTTGTAAACGCTTTTCAAATTTAAGTATTGCACATATTACTGAAGTGTATAATTCAAATACACTATAACAGTACAGTACTGTACATAAAATATGTTATTTGCAGAGAGAGAAAATTACTTTTTCAGCGTCATGTTTCCTGTGCATGCAGCTTTAGCCTCAGGTAGCTAGCCAGAAACATACGGGTTAGCAAAGGCAAAATAGGCAAGTTATAAAATTAAAAAATAATAATAATTTGATAGTTAATATTTTGCATATTTTATGTATAAAAAGACTACTTGATTACCATAGGTGAATTATCTAAACTGTATTTTTATACAGGAATGATTCTGTCCTAAGCTTTTTGATCCATATAAGCGGTTTCCACTGTATTTTAAATATTGCTAGCGGTAAAACCGATTGGTATTACCTTTGGCAGCTGAAACAGTTTTTTTTTGCAGGGCTTACATTTGAAATCTTTTTGTTTGGTGTCGTCTTCGCTAAAGCCACAATGTGTCCAAACGACGGACACAGCATTTTTCTTTGGTACAAGCTGCTCAGTCGGCTTGGGGTTGGAGTTCTCCATGTTGCTTCCATGTCACAGACTGGATGGAATGGAGTCACATGACAACTGGTAGTATGTTTTTAAGGGTATATGTTTTTAAGAGGGAGTATTAAATTTTTAAGTATTAAAAATATATATTAAAAAAAAGCAACCTATATGGGCAAGGTTACAACGATTAAAAGTTCTGAATGTCAGTTTTGATTAATTTTCAAGTAATAC